CACACACACACACTGAACAGCTGTGTTTCTCTGGCCGTGTCCAAACTTAAACCAGCTCCCCGTGGATCCACAAACTGCTGAGTGTGTGTGTGTGTGTGTGTGTGTGTGTGTGTGTGTGTGTGTGTGTGTGTGTGTGTGTGTGTGTGTGTGTGTGTGTGTGTGTGCATGTTTGCTAGGTTATCTGCTGTGTTTAGCCAGCTGTTGCTCCTGACAACAAGCCTGTTTGTCTGTTTATATTGAAACGACAGAGGAATAGGGATCGTCAACAAGTATAAAACTCACATCCTTTTACAAATTCCAAGAGATTTGCAAGATTAAATTCATACTTTATCATCTTTAAGCAGCAAATAAACTCAGTCTCAGCTTTTAAAGTGACAGTAACAACACTAGATTATGTTGAATCCATACATTTGCACCGGACCGTGGCGCTCGCTGTGGACACACAATCATTGTCAGCCACTGCTACGATGTCCTTGCAAACACAGGGGGGTTAGGGTACATCTGGCTGTGGAAACTCAAGCAATCTCAGGGTTATCTGTACCAAACCATACTGAACTGAAATGGACTGCTTGGTGGAAACAAAGCTTAATATAATCACTTTTTTAAAGAGACAGTTTATTGTTTTGTTGGCGGCTCCAGTGCGACTGTTTTCCTGATGTCCAGCTTTAAAAGAATTTCTGTTTTCGACAAATCACATTTTTACACCTCAGCGCTGGCAGCCATTTACGACACAAGAACGCCAGTACTTAACGTTTGGCAGATCGGATTGTTTCTTTGATATCTGTGCATGATTTTTTAAGGTTGGTCGTAAGATAAACTGCCCTTCATTTTAACGGTGTGTGTGTTCGTGTGTGTGTGTGTGTGTGTGTGTGTGTGTGTGTGGTTTGTTCTGGCAGAGGCGGAGAATGACAGCACGCCAGAACGTCCTGTTTGGCAGTCACAGGTGTCGACTGTGGGAGGATGCAGTGTGTCAATGTGTGTGTGTGTGCGTGTGTGCGCGTGTGTGTGTGTGCGTGTGTGTGTGTGTGTGTGTGTGTGTGTGTGTGTGTGTGTGTGTGTGTGTGTGTGTGTGTGTGTGTGTGTGTGTGTGTGCAGGGTCTGACTCACCACCCACTGAACACCAAATGCTGTTGAGATGTGTCTCTGCTCTTTAAATCAATAAGAGCTGAAAGCCTCATTGGCTGATTACTTAATGACAGAGTAACATTTAAATCCGTCAGTCAGGATGAATCATTCCGCATTGGACATTTTTTTTAAACGCTTACACTGTTATGCTTTTATAAACAACAATGAGAGGTAATGTTTGCCGTAACATCTGGTTGAAACATTCTCATCATGCAGCATGTACTAATCCTAAAATAAAAATGAGTTACATCACAAAGCAATCTGAACATGTAGATCAGAGGTTTTTAAAAATTTGAGGGACTGTCTCTTGCAGGAGGTGATCCGGAGCTTGGTGAAGAGGTACGTGGCGGCCATGATACGCAGCGCCAAGACGGACGAGGGACTGACGGAGGAAAACTTTAAGGTGTGTGCGATCGGTTTATAGATATTTATATACATTAAGAAGAAATGTGTGTTTACCGAGGTGTTGCACAATGAGTGAAAACAACAGAAATAAAACTACAGTAAAATACATGAAACTCATGAGAAAGACAAAGAAGACCCGATAAAATTAATCAAGATTAATCGCTGAGATTCAAAAGTTAATCACGATTAACTGCATTTTTTACAACGTTAAAATTTCATTCCACTATTTTGCATTTTGAAAAAAAGTTTTTGGTATGCTTTTATTTTGTATTTTTGTACAGTCTTGAGCTAAGGGTTCTTTACTTCCTGTTTGGATTCAAATCTACGAAGGGGTAAAAACATGAGATTTATATATTAAACTAAAAAAATTAGTATAGTAAAATTAGTAAGTATAAAGTCAAAGAAATGACCGAAAAAAAGTCGTAAATTTACGGGATTTTAGTGCAGGCAGATGGCTGCTCTTCTGATACACCTTTCAGAATGAAAATGTTAACCATAGCATAATTTAAACCAAATAATCAAAACTTAATATGGACTTTATCTTCGTAAATCTACGAATGCATCCTTGTGATTTTTTTTTTTTTAAATTGTATAATTATTATTTTTTTAACTTGGCCCCAATACGCATACAAACCTGCTTTTATTTTGAAAGAAAATAAGGGACTTGTGGTAGACCAAAGTTTACACAGAAATAAAGGAACTTTTATACAGAAGGATATTCCCATAAAACACATCAAACATTAACTGAATAATAAAATAAAGACTTGGAAAGAAATTAGTTTCAATAATAAACATCTTGAAATAAATGATCTGGACGCCCAACAGCTCGTCTGCATCAGCACTGAAGTACACAATCTCTTTATTTTATGTTTATTTTGTGATTAAAACAAAGCAGCTTTAATAGAGTCCAGAAGCAGAGCTGTTCTTCTTCTCTACAAACATTTATTAAAAGATTTTTAATAACCAGCACCTGTCGACTCTCCATCACTGCTTCTCCTCGTCTGCAGCTCTGATCAATAGCAACACTTTACAGTCGATAATCCTCCCGGAGACTTTCTCTCCCTTCTCTAAATCTTCTGAGCGTCAAATTATTCTGAGCTCCCGAGTCCGTTTCCCATGATGCATCTGCAGCCCAGCCAGGGCTTTGAAGTGTAAAGTTCCTTTGGGCTCTTCAGTGCAGAAAACAACATCAGGTGCACATGGACGTGCATCACGTTCAAACCCCGAGTGAGAGTAGTTGAGGAATGAGGAGTCATGTATAAGCAGAGAGTGTGTTAAATATGTGTAGCAGACATCAGGGGCATGTAGACATTAATCAGATTTTTAATTCCTGGAGGAACAACGCCACATGTGCAGCGTTTGGATCCCATTTGGTGAGGGAAAAGAGAAACAAGGAGCTGTGATGGTAAAATGTAGCATGAAGCTGTGTTTGAGTGTCCATGAAAGAGAGAGAGAGAGAAAAGATTACAGTAGAAGGAAACTGATTGTTTGTTTATGCATTTATGATAATCTTCTGTAAAAGCTTCGGGCTAAACTGAAGATTGTGTGTGAAGTGAATCAGAACAAAAATCCTCATCGTCCCCGCAGGAAAGACTTCAACACAGCAATAAAACATGCTGCATGTTATCTTCTGTTATTCATGTTTTTATACAAAGAGATACAGGCATAAACATGACACAGATGGTGGTCCACTGATTGCACATCACATGAACACATTGCCTATTTACATACACAGCAACTATGGAGCTGTTACTGTTGCAATACAATTTGCAAATGTGTATTTAGATCCACAAATGGATAAATAGATCCACAAATGGGTAAATAGATCCACAAAGGGGTAAATAGATCCACAAAGGGGTAAATAGATCCTTAATGGGTAAATAGATCCACAAATGGGTAAATAGATCCACAAAGGGGTAAATAGATCCTTAATGGGTAAATAGATCCACAAAGCGGTAAATAGATCCACAAAGGGGTAAATAGATCCACAAGGGGGTCAATAGATCCTTAATGGGTCAATAGATCCTTAATGGGTAAATAGATCCACAAAGTCTTAAATAGATCCACTGATCTGTTCTTAAGTCCGCATTTGAGGATCTGTGTATGAATTTGTGTATCTATTTACACCTCTGCACATTGTCTCGCAGTAGTAGCTCCATATAGACTATCGGAGTAAACCTGCAGTGTAATCCCATAAAATAAAGAAACAATAGTGCCAAGGTCTCCTAAAATTAATTTATTTGACCACCGCTAGAATAAATTAGCACATCATGCATTTCATTCTTACAATGCAGTCAGACCAACAAATCCTGCTCATCAAGAATTATTTATAAACTGGGTAAATAATGGATGTAACCACTGCGAGGACACTCAGTGGTTTCTCGGATGTGTAAACGAAGCCTTCAGTTTGGTGATTGGCAGCCGCCATCTTGGTTTTTCTGGAGCCAGAAGTGACCATATTTGGAGGAGGAGCTGGAGTGAAGCAAGGGGTTAGCAAATGACAAGTTATTAAAGCTCAACAGTCAACACTCATGGCTAATTCATGAGCTGGTGTTGTTGGTTTTACCTTGTGTTTTCCAACAAGTGGGATTGTATTTGAGGTGGTGATTGATTAGAGTTGTTTATTTTGCAGACTAAAGAATTTAAAATAAACAAAATTCTCGTCACCTGCCGTCCACTGAAATCTTTCCAACAACATTAATCATTCGACTCCTATGCTCTGGCCAACATATAATTAAATTTGAGCCTCGCAAATGGACATGTTCTGTCCCAGTTGAACTTGTACAGTGCAAGTACGTAGGTTATGCCTGGCAATTGAGTTGTAGAGTGTGAGCACATGAATCTAAAACTTTGGTTACTGATTTTGATGGTCTTGTACTAAAATTCATGCTCAGACTTTTTGAGCATTTGTGAGCGTTCCCTTTAATGCTCTTACAGTGGCAGTTAAGGCTTAAAAGATGCATCAACTTAAAGTGAATCAAGGAATTTATTAAGTCAATGTAAGACATCATTTATTCAGGTCTTTTCCCTGGACCGACCACTCTCTCCTCGGTCACACATTTCCCTCTTTCGTCACTCATCCACTCTCTCTCACTTGCCTCTCTCTTGACCTCGATCTCCCCTTCTTCGTCACCATCCCCCTGAGTCCTTACCCTCCTCTTCACCCTCTGCCTCTACAAATTGATGTTTCACCTCCACTCCCTCTCTCCATCACCCGTCACCCATCTCATCACCACTCCTCTTTCCCACTCTCTTTTTCGTCTTAGTTTTCACACTCTTGTTTTCCACAAGTATATCAGAGATTACTTTTCCAATCAAACTTTGGGATAAATGTAACTTTCCTGACATAATACTTTTTGTTTCTTCCTTCCTTCTGGTTTCTTCCTCAGTCTCAACCTTTCTGATTGCTTTTTTTTACTCTGTTTCCAGGAGTTGAAACAAGACATTTCGAGTTTCCGCTACGAGGTCCTGGATCTCCTCGGGAACCGGCGTCCACCCCGGCGACACTACTCCTCCTCCAGCGAGACAATGAAAGACGACGGCGCCATGGCCTCAGAGGATGACAGCGAATCGGGGGACGGCAGTGGAGGTGGAGGCCAGCGGTCAAAAGGCGTGACCTTCATGACACCGCTGGAGGACGACAAGTCGCCAGAACCACAACAAGGAGTGTCCGCCTTGGTGCGCTCCATTTCAGGAATGACCCAAATGGAAAGATCCAGCGATGACGACGAGGTGGATCTGGAGGAGGGCATTGGATGGGGGGAAGAGGAGGAGGACGAGGAGGGAAAACCAAAGAGCAACGGGCTGAAGTCGAACGTCATCCCCTCATCCTCCACCTCCGTCCACCCCTCCCAGTCTTCATCATTCGCCACTGCATTGTCGTCATCCCTTGCTCGAACAAGAAGCCGGCTCCATCGACTCTCATCTCCAGGATCAAAAACAGACTCTTTCAAGCGCCTCTCATACCTGTTCTCACGCTCAAAACGCAAAGCCCCACCCCTGCCTCTCCCTCTGCAGTCCCCGCCATCCTACACTATCTCCGACGGGTTGCTCCGCCCCCTAGGGAGCCACAGCCACTCCGACTTCGGACTCAGTAACGTGACAAGAAGCGAGACTCACTTAAACGAAATGGGCCGCTCAGTCGACATCAATAACCCGTCGTTCTCCCCGCGGAGAACAAACGGACGGGACTCCCTCCTGACGCTGCCCCTCCCGCCCCCATGCCCCTGCCAATCCCTGCACTGTGCTTCCAACATGTCCGAGTCCAGCTCACGCCTCCTGGACTCCAGTGAGGACGTTTTCCAGGGCGGAGGCTTGGGAGGATCAGGCGAGGGCGGTGTGGACGGAGGAGGGGGAGGAGGAGGGGTGGTGATGTTGTTGGGTGGGTGGGTGGGACCATGCAATGATGTCATAGAGGACAGCTGTGAGGTCATAGAGGACTCTGTCACCACACAGCTATAGGAAAAAGGGACAACCAAACTGTTTCTTCTTTGTTTGTTTGCATATGGATTAACACAGAGAGGACAGAGAGAGAGCGGTGGTAGGGAATCCAATGGAATCTGTTCTAGAACTCAGCACGGTGGGCTCTGGAATTCTACAGTGGAGTTCTAGAATGCAACATTTCCGAGATCGAAGCAGCTTCTGCGATGGTTCAGGTTAAACCTAAGAGGACAAAAGGGATGCTGAATTGGCAGATGGTCATAAAGACAGTGTGATATCATCAGGTTGTCTGGAATTTCCCGGTAAATGTGCCGCAGCCACACCTCTGTCAAGTTCAAAACAACTGCACTGATTACCTAGCAAGCACTATAGCTGGAAAAGTACCAAGCTAGCCAGCCACTGCTTGGTATAACCAGCTACAAATAAAGCTACTTAGGTAACTTACCAATAAGCTAATCCTCTTTCTGTCATGGCATGAGATCAAAGGAGCTACCAAAGCAACCTACTTTGGAAACTCCCTCACTGTGAGTAAGCCCACTATATTATCTTACTCATAAATTGAGAAATAGGGAGTTCAAAGTAAGTGTATAGTGAGCTAATCCGCACTCTCTTTCTATCCACTGTCCTGTCTCAAAAAAATAAATCTTCTAAGGTTGTGAGCCTACCCCTCAGTGACTGATCTGACTAGCTAGAGAGCAACGTAGCTAACAATATAATTTGCTTTTGAGCTAACCCTCTTTTCTATGAGATGGCGAGCAAGCTGAAAAGGGAGATCTTGTAGTCAGGTTTTTTTAGCTAACCATGCTATCAGCGAGCTAACTAGCTGGAGAGTAAGAGAGCAACCGATGTAGCTCACTAGGGGAGTCAACAAAAAATGTAACTTGAGAGCAATTAACTCTTTTTAACCAATAATTTGAAGTTCATGACAATCCTAAATTGCATATCACACACATATAACTAGCTGTGCTAGGCTCTTCAGGACTTTTTTGGTTCCCAAAGGGCAGATTGTGTCAGGGAAAATCTGCTGCAAGTTTGTTTTTCAGTTTATATGATATGCTACATCATGTTCATGGTAAAGCTGAGGGCCATCTTTCACGATATAACATCAAAATGCCTTTATAAACATCTGCCAATTTCCAAGCAAGCCACAAAGGAGGAGATTCAAAACAAATGTTTCTTCTATCCTCTGGGACATTCAGAAACTATCATTATGGAATTACAAGCAACCAAAGCAACTTTTCTGAGGGGAAATATCGTCAACAGTCCGTGTTTGGTTTTAAACACATGACGCTGTCTTTCCCTTTAACCAAGCTTCAAATCTGTTATGGATTAAATGGAATAAAATCCTCTTAAAATCCCTTGAATTGGAATGGATCTACACTCGGACTTAGATTTTACCTTTTGCCAAATGGAATTGACTGAGTAACACTCCTACATGAATTTGGAGAACTTAAAATTGCAAAAATATTTTTTTTTGGAGGGGGAGGGGAAACGGAATAACCTCCCCTTTAACTCTGGAATTTCTTGGATTACACTCCGACCGAATCACTGGGATAAAAAGGGAACGGCATGGGACCATTGCTCTGCTATCAGTAGCCTGCACCCTCTCTCTCTGCATCAACAAGGGCCAAGGAACTTTTGTTTTATCCTAATAACAGTTATACTAGTAATAATAATAACGATCATAATAATAATAAGTGACTTCTAATAATAGTTATGAGGACTATTCTGGTTTTCTTAAGACTGTCTTTGCTTCTATTTGAGTTGCCTACAATATTCTGGCTTCTCGTTCAGCTCTTCCTTAATAAGTACACTTTAACCTGATGAATAAAAATTTACGGTGATATTTCTTGTAAGAATGAAAGATCATGGCGGTGAGAATTGGCGGAAAGGTGGAAGGAAAGGTGTGAGACAGGGACATATGAATGCAAATAAGTGGAAGTTTGGTGAATGGGATACAGGAGGTAAAATAAAAGTAAAGAATGAGATTAAAAAGAAGATTGAATGGACGAGGAACAGATTGAGAAAATGGAGTTCACCTTTGTATCTGGGGAAATCTATTTTAAAGGGAAATTTCACCAGAATTTCATCATGATATATATTTATTTTCTCTTGAGGTCGCTCGGCGCGGCGACTTCAAAAGGTTGGCATGAGCAGAGGCTGTTGAATTTTACTCTGGTTAATATACGACTGTCAGCGATGAAGTAGAGAAATTATGCATGTTTGATTAATAAAAACCACAGATACCTAACACACTCAAATCACCACATGCAAACACACACTGGAGACACCAATATGTGTGATGAGTAGCTTCCGGCCAAATGTTTCACCATTTCTCAGAACTCTTCAGCGCATCAGCTTGTTGTCCGTCTTATATCACATCCTTTCTCTCCTCTCCCCATCTGTCTCTCAAGATTATTTTACCTATTTGTATCCTTCTTACCTTTCTGTCTTCTCCAAACACACAATTACACACATTTATTCCTCTGGCAGACGCCGCAGCCTCACCACCAGCTGTCTTGGCAGAAAGCTTCAACCCACCAATGAATCACAGTCTCCAAAATGTCAGGGTGTAACGATGGAGACCTGATTATTCCCTCAACATCCTGTAATCATAATGTCACATCCAGAGCCACAGAGCTGGACGAGGCGGACACAGACACTGTCTTGCCTCTGTTATTGAGTGTGCAGATAAGTGGTTAGTAATGATAGCAGTCTCTTTTGTTTTTTTAAGACGATCAATTTTGTGTCTCTTTACGTCCCAGCAACAACACAGGAAAACAAATGTGTAAAAGTAACGAGCGTCGTACTTTAACTCTTAATTTAACCACAAACAAAGAAAATCAAACAACTTTTGTTGATTTTTAGAGGTATAAAAATGTGTTAAGTAACTGTGAATCATGACTGGACTGACAAAATCTCTGTACCACTATATCTATCAGGAACTTATCAGAATAGAAGTGGATCATATCGTCAGCATATCGTGTAACTTGAAAGGAGATTTATTCTGCTGATCCATAATTAAACATACATATCTATGGAAATTTTCAGGGCAAAGGATTGAGAAAAGTTGTAGGACGTGCTTACCCCGGCAGCTCTTTCAAGAATCACCAAAAAGTTCACTCAAATTTCCCTACGATTGTAAACTCAGCCAACGCAGTAACCCAGGCATCTTGACATTTTGGGGGAATGTTCCAATTTTTTGTGCTTGAAGTAAAAATGACCAAATGACCAAAATACAAAAAAAGGCGAGGCAGCACTGGACATCTCAAAGTCAACTTGTTTTTGCTTGTGTAAGGGGGCAAATGTTTTCCAAATTTATCCCAAATTATCCATATTTATCTTTATCTTTGAACTACTGACCTGGTCCCAAGTGGCCCAAAATAAATCAATTAATCCACTTTGAACACTTCAGGATTGAAGATTATTTGGGATTACATTTTAAATAATCTGATGATGCTCTGTAAAGCTCCAGACATTTTTTTTTTTTTAAATTGATGGTTTGATGTTTTAGCTTAGTCTCACAATGAACGAGAGGGGGTTTTTAGAGTTTAATGAATCCACAAAACTGGAGCTTGAAAAGATTTCACATTTAATCAGCAGCACTGATGCATTGTAAGTGAAGGAATTAGGACTCAACAGTGAGCTTCAGGTTGATCATAATTACAGAGTTAATATTCAGGACAGCAAAGGTTAGAGCCGCAGCGGAAACAAATAGCTCTTTGAGAAGGACGATTGTTTCTGACAGAGAAGTTGAATAATGAAGGAAAGTGGAGAGCAAAGGTACCAGACTGTAAACATGTTAATTTATGCTTTAAAAACTGGCATTTTTGAATGGGTGTGTATGTGACTTCCTGAGTGTCTGAACCCAGCCTCTAGTGGACACTCGGGGAACTGCAGTTTTTTGCACTTTTGCACTAACATTAGCAGGTAATGGTTTAAGGTAAGGTTTGCAGTTAATTGTAACTTTGATTTTCTGCCCTGGCATGTGTCTCTCCTTACAATCAATATGCAGTTAAGATTTACTTCACCTTTAACAAAACATAGAAGAAAATAAAATGAAAATCTTTTAGTACGCCTGCAATGCTTAAAATATTCCAATTGTTATATTTGAGCTAGTGTAGCCGTTTAGCGAGTAGCTAACAGAGCTAATGTAAGTAAAGCGGGACAAATACAAAAGAGCTGCGGATTAGAGGGCGGTACAGAGGCAGAAAGACAAAGAGCTTTGAATTTCAGGGTTACCGTTGGCATGTCAACACACCGTAATCAGGGCCGCACTGTTCAACGCGTGCAACAAGCAGGACAGTTGGATAATCAATCACACTTAATTAATTCTCCTGCCAATGGTTGGTTTAGATTTCAAAGGGCGATTTACAATATAAGAAATTAACGTGAGGATTGAAGCGATTTATAGGATTTCTTGATTGATAACCTTACTGTAGCCTTGCGTCTGCTGTCAGCGAGGTCTTAGGGTCAGGGCCTGTTATCAACACCCAACACACAATTAGGCAACACCCCCACAAACACTCACACGGGACCGATAATCAATCACTCCGATTGGTCGATATCAATGATACACGTCTGATCCTGGGGCTTTTTAACCCCATGTGTGTGCGTGTGTGTGTGTGTGTCGCACTGGGATTATTGATCTGAATCTATAAGTAAATTCTGTTGAGCTGCCGATCGATTTATATTTATCAAGATTAGACTCGTACTCGGCATGAGTGTGTGTGTTGTCCTCGTGTGTGAAATTGAGAACCATTGAAGCTTGAATGTCTTCTAAAGAGGCAAACGGGACGCATACATGGAGAGTTTAGACTTTAAAAACAGTAGGCATGGTGGATAGGGGAGGTTCAAGGTTGATCTCATGCATTATTAAACACACAAACACACACACCAGACGGGCACATTACCACTGACCAGCTGCAGGTTTGATTGTAAATTGTTTGGGGCGGCTGCAGTCCACTTTAATAACCCTGTGTGATCTCCGTAATTTGAATCACACAAACACACAAAAGTGTTGATCGCTCTTTGTGGCTTCAATCCGCCTGCAATGCAACCGAGGACAACAGCTTAGACCTCATTTATGGATCCTAGAGGTGTGTGTGTGTTCGTGTGTTTGTTGTGTGTGAGGGAAGGAAAAGGAGGGTTATTGCATCACATCATACCGAATCCATGTGAACAAGGCCACCTGCAGGGAAAACCTTATGAAACATGCATAACACAAATGTTCAATACATTATTAAAAGGGTTGCTTCAAGCTGTATCACTCTCACAGACTGTAAATAAGAGGCGGACTGAACCAAAGTGATGTCAGCCATTGATTTATTTTTTTGCCTGCTGACTTTGACGCCCATGTTATTTTTGTTTTGGAGCAAACGTCCACCATTATGCCAGACTTGAAAACCTAATAGTAAACTCAGTAAACCTCAACTCTTTGGTAGAAAGGTCGTAACTTGTCAGTTATTGGTAGCTTCAGCCTGGAGTACTCTAGACGCGGGTGTCACCAGGATTTCTGGGCCCCATGAAAAGCTCTCACATTGGGCCCCTCTCCAACCCCAGCCTCGGTCAACCCAGTGATATCGCTATAACCACATCTCCGTTCCATAAATGACACATTAAAAGCTTTCAAATAAGGTTGCCAAAGATTTCGATGCCACTCGTTTTTAAAGGGGCACCATCTTAGAATAATCAGAAGAACAAACATCTATTTCATGAGACAGGTGCATAGACGAAGAAGAATGATCCATCAAAAATTGCAGGCGGACTCCTACACTGTGTCTGAATTCTGGTCTGTATTGGACTCTAAATGGGACCATATGGGAGATATTTATGGTCTTGGTCTCACCATGGATTGGACTTGATCCCTAAATGTCTTGGTCTTGTCTTGATCTCGAGCACTCTGGTCTCGGGTATTTCTTGGTCTCGGTAAGTGTGGTCTTGACACCAACACTTGCGGGACCAGACTGAGACAGTGAACACACAGTTTTCCCATCAAACAAATTAATTGACCGCTCACTCAATCACTTCCAGCATTTGGTACATTTCTTTCTGGAAACATTATGTCTTTTGTAAAAATATTTTGGGACTGGGTAAAGAGTTCCGCATATTGTTTATTTGTCTCAGCGCTCGGAAAAGTGTTTTGCATCTTGAAAATGTTGCAAAAATTAAAATTTATCTCAAGTTTTGCAAAAACATTTTACACTTTGTTATTTTGATTTGCACTTCCCAACCCTGAAGGTCTTAAGTTCCCAAATGAGAGCATCGATGGGTAAACTGTGGTGATACCAGAGCAGCTGATATTCCATCATTTGTTGCTGCTGAGTCATATTTATGGATAATTTGGCATGGCTACTCATCATACACACACGTTCACTCACACACAAACACACACAGCTAAGAACAAACATATACAGTACACATCCTATATAATATAATTCAGGTTCCCCTCTCACCTTCTCAAGACATTTTGAGCTTTAAGAATCAAAACCTGTCCTTGTTTCTCTTCGTTTTTTTTGGGATTTCCACACGGATGAATGTATGACTGTGTTATTTTTCTAGAAGCGGACGGCTAGCGCACGTTGTTGACTCTTTAATAAAGGCATCCTTAGAAAAAAAACAAGTGCAACGTTTGGACTGTTTCTTTGACCGCCATCTTTGTCTTTTTCCTGATGTGATGTTGATTATGTGACAGTAATGTAGATATCATCCTCAGTGGGAGTCCTGCCATACAGAACTGGAGCAGAGACAGCCTGAGAAGAGTTTTCCATATGAACCCTTGTTCACCTCTTAAATATAAAGTCCCGCCTGTAGCAATGCCCTCATCATTTAAAAGCTTCCTCCCTGCATTCAAACACATCTCCAGAACCAGACACCTGCTACCAGTCTGTAAATCGTTGCTCTAAATTCAAATTGGCGCTGACAAAAGTCACATTTTAACGAGAACACTCGCTTTGTCTGCTCCGGCACTGCAGCTGGGGTTATTTTTAGACACAGTTTGAGACGAGGACTCGGCTCGGAGATGCCTGACTGTCTGCTTTGACGGAGCGAGCGCAGCGAACTTGTGAGAAACCGGCTCACCATAAAAGCTGTGACGATGTGGTTTCTAATTCCAGATTGAGGCTGGATCCGTGTAAATCAGGTCAATGCAGCGAATGTTCTTATGTAAGTGCTGGGAGTTCTGGTGGAGTTTTACATGTACTGTCCTGGGAAGATGATTATCATGCATAGGATTTTTCATAAATTATGCATATTTCCATCCTGTGCAAAACCCTTTGACAAGATTCTCTTTTTAAAATATGCCATCTCATCACAGCTGGAAACATCGTTTTAATCAAAGCTTGAATACGTTGTTTGGTTTCAATCTATAAAACACAGCAACATGTGTCATTTAGGCACCAAACTACAATTCTACAATTCTACAATTCACTTAGCAGACGCTTTTATCCAAAGCGACGTACATCAGAGAGTAAGAACAACACAAGCAAGGATCTAGAAAAAAGAGAACAATGTCAGTAAGAGCAAACGATCAGCTTTGAGTCTGATTGGACACACAGGTGCTGACAGGAAGTGACCACAGGCAAAGCACAACATTGAGGGCAGTTCTTGAGAGCTCTAATCAGTATAGAAACCATCTTATAAGTCGTCGTTATCAAACAAAAACCATCGTCATTACCATCCTCATCATCAATAATATGGAGACCATCATCATTAAGTTAGTAGGTATTCATGAAAGAGCTGGGTCTTTAGCTTTTTCTTAAAGGTGTAGGGGGACTCTGCAGATAAAACTGACCATCTACAATAAGGTTTTCAATTATTTTCTCCTTCATGAAACTGAAGAGGTTTTGTTTCATTATTGTGTCTTAAAGGCACAGTACGTAAATTCAGCCACCAGGGGGCTCTCAATCAATGCACTGACGTTGAGGCTGGCAGATAATGGAGAGTTTTTTTTAATATATATATATATCACCACCGTCTTCACTTTAACATCTTAACAGAAACAGAAATTACCGGATTGTAAAGGTTTTGGATAAACAGACGTGTGCCCAGCTCTGCTAACAAGTTTGGTAAAGTGAAAGTAAAAATTCAAGAGTTTCAAATACTTTTTTGGTCAATCCGTTGGTACAATAAACCACAGAGCGAGAAACATTATTACTTTGCGACTGTTAAGCTGATACATGTGATACTAAAATGGAGGAATTGATGGGCCCATCCACAATAACTAACGAGGTATGATGTAAGGTTTGTTCACATGCGGAGTGATTTACTGACGACCAAACTGAAGCATTCTTTTTTTTGGGTTACGTAAACTTCAACCCCAGTTTCAATGCATGTTTTAGATAAAAGATATTTTTGTTCTAACACAAAGCCTCCCGTCTCTTCTCTTTTGTCCGGGATGCTTTTAGTGATCAGGTTGCTTTCATTGTTTCTGTTCAGAGTTTGGATACATGTATCGAGTGGTATAAACTGTTAAAAGCTTGTCTTTTTTAAACTCTTTTATATTCCATGTGTTGAGAGCGTTTCAACAACCTGCCATGCAATCTGAATGCATTATTATTTTACAGCTGAAAAGGAGAGCGAGAGAGAGATTTGAGGGCTGTTTCTTTTTTTTTTAACAAAGTCCCTCGCTCGACCGTTGTGTGGGCTGCACAGCTGAATAAAAAACTGCTTTCATCTCTCTCTCTCTCTTCCTCTCTCTACATCAACCTCCCCTCCACCAACTCAGTGTCAAGTTCTGCTATGAGACACACAATGATCTGTGTGTGTGTGCGCGCTGGAATGAGGAGCTGGCTGTCCTTTTTGCAGGCAGCGGTAAACTGAAGCACCTCTCAGAAAAATATGACTATTATTGAACTACTGAGAAACACTCTCATCTTGCAGTGAAACACACATTGCTTTTCCCCTTTTTCTCACACACACTCAAACTCATAAATGCAGTTAAAACACATTTAGGCACACTGAGTTACAGAGTATTTCTTCTCCGTGTATTAACCGTGTTTTAAGGAGTTCCTCAGGGAAAGTATGTAGGTCCTCTGCAGGTGTAAAAAATATCAATAAACTTTAAATACCTTTGGTTTTTTTACTTTGGATCTTTTTTCAAATTATGTTAAACACTCTGAAAAACCTTGTCAGTAGCTAAAACTAATGTGCCAATTTTTGAATCAATCATTATTTGTAAACCACCAATTCACAACAAGTGTTATCTTAAGACGCTTTACAAAAGAGCATATGGGATAATATGCAGGAAGGATTTCTCTTTTGTATTCCTCGTGTTCATGTTGTCAACACTTCCTCGCCGCTGAGGTGGAGGTAGAAGCACGCCGTGCATGAATGAGAACGGCGATGGTTGTGGGGACGACACAGTCCAATGGAGGTGGGTGGGCGTCCGGGAGGTCGGGTGGTAGTATTATGCACTGTTGCCGGCTGAAATGTATACTGGAGCAATTCCACAACTTTTCTAAAAGAATAATTGTCATAATATCAATTACTTGTTTATTCAGTCGGGCTTTCATGTCGTACTTCATAATTTTATGTATTGACTTACCTTCAAGGCCCACTCAGCAAAAAAGGCTGTCACCAAGAGCGCCAAGGTCGAAGGGGTGTCGGCGTGAGCTTTACATTTGAATGTTGCTGCAAATTATACCTCGTTAAATATAAACCAGCCACAAGGACAATGTCTCGACAAGCCTCTTCCTCTACTCTGTACAATTCATCTGAAGTGTCTGAAGTGCAGACGAACTCGGTCAACGACGACAAATAGGAGAGCCGGGGGGGGGGGGGTGAATTTGAATAGAGCAAAAAACAGAATGTATCCTGATCGTTCTATAGAGAAGGAAGGGCGGGAATTTGGTCCTTGTAGAAACTCTGTGATTGCCGTTGATTTATCATGATTAAACTGTTAACTAACTGTTAACTAACAAGCTAACTCGTCTGATTCCAATTCATTGATTGTTTGAGGTGTAATATTTGAGTCATGTGTCTGGTGGTATTTTTCAGGAATGTTTTAGACCACATTGGCTATAAGTCGATGCATTAAGAGAAACGTATATGTGTGACACAGACCCTCCCCATCATTATATAATTTCATAAAAATATATAAAAAAATAGGTCACAGTTTAAGAGATATGGAAATTACCATTTTAAAAGATTGTATCGGCCGTATATGATAAGGAGACTATGTTGTCAACCCTGTAAAGGAGATGGATTAATGGAGCAGAAATCATTCATTAGAGGCTAATTAGAGATCTGCTCCCCCCTGAGGAGACATGGATAGGGTCTTGACACATCAGGCTGTGATGGTGAATGAGACATAATGAAAGGTAAGGGAGTATCAAGGGATTTGTGACGCAGGAAACGGCCAAACGATCGCGGAGTTAATCCTTACAGGTGTGATGGCAGTCTGAAGGGTTGTTCAAATCTTCATTTACTGAGAGATCATTCAGGAGACTTTCTTCGATTTTCTTTGATTTGCTTTTTTATTTTCATCTTCATTCTCATGAATAAATAACAGAAAGTTTTAATTGCTGTGGTCGCTGTGATTTATTAATTTATTAATGATCAATTAAAGAACTGCTCCGAGTCCGAAACAATCAATGTTGTCCTTTTTTTTCTTTTTCACACATGTCTTCTTACATGCTGTGCAAGTAGATGGAGGCCATTCATCTCCTCCATCGACCTCAAGCCAATCGAATGTCAGCAGACGCGTCACCAATGGCAACATCCAGCCCCGACACACACACACACACACACACACACACACACACACACACACACACAAACACACACACACACACACACACACACACACACAGCTCAGTGTTACATAACCAGAAAGAACTGTGCTTGAAATGTGTGCATGGCCCCCTCTAGTGGATAAAACTGGGCAGTGCCATACAAATGACAACACTGCTGCCAAAGATTGTCTGTTGTTGAGAGGAACCACTCCTCAGCAAATTGCTGGCACGTTTTGTTCTTTCGACGCAAGGTGAATTATTTCCGTATGTAGGTGAGACAAATTTAAAATGAGTGTCCGGGTTTTCCCCAAAAAACACTTTATTCTTTTTTTAATTTTGGTGAGTTTTTGGGCATTTATTGGTGTCTTTTCTTCTGACTGTCAACTCTTCATTTACCTGTTTGATGTATTTTCAATATGTACACCTTTTGAAGGAAATAATACATTACTTCTCAAACCACACTGTTGAGCCGTGTTGCTATTATTTCTTAAAACAGAGAGGAAATAATATCAATATAATGTGCACCTGCACTCAAGTTCACTTCATCTGTCTGTCTACTCGACGTTATATTGAATAGTTTCTGCTGATAACATGTCTACACTCATGAACTTTAACTTATAGTATCACTGATTGCACAGCTCCCGATGTCAATACTGTCCATTTACGACTCTGTTTTTGCACATTCACATTTAATCTTTCATATTTAAGACTAGTAATGTTTAGTTAAATCCTGGTTGTATATATTCTCATTCTTAGTTTTGATATTTTTAGTGCTTATTTACTTTGTAGTTAATATTATATTGTGTTTAAGTTTGCTAATATTGTGTGTTTGGACAACCTGCTGCTGTAACAACACAATTTCCCAGTTTGGGATCAATAAAGTCATTCT